GTCTTGCACCAACCACTTTTGCTACGCATTTGGGCTTTGAAGCCCGACCTTTGTTGAGGTCCTGAGTCATCCTCCAGTCAAGGTATTGGGCATCACTTTTCAGTGAAAAATATTGTGCGGAGGGCTGAGTTATAATAGAGGCCTCTCAGAGGTGGAGGAACTACTCTCCTTAGGACCACTTCAAGCTCGCAAAAGGTCAGCGCTGTCATTTTTATGAGCAACAATAAGCAACGGAGTGGAAACAATGAAGAAATCCAGCGGTACCGGATAGAATCGGATTGTTCAATCAGGGGCGGCCTCCCACCGCATTGCTATGACAACCGAAGAAAGCATGAGGGTAGAAATAATGCCAGATTGCCAAAGCCTAGGCATGAGCGGTCGAGATGCCGGGGCTGGGTTTGAACCACAGGCCTTCCGGTCAGTAAGTTCGCGTCTTGAACAACGAGCCATTTCAGTAGAACGTGAAACGTCGGCAAGGTTGGAGACGAAAAAGTCAGACAAAGGAGCATAAGTCATATGTTGATAATTTTGGTGAGAAAAGACACTTCTGAAGCTGCCACCCGGTTACGTGGAATCTGCCCCTTCATTTAGAAAACCCTTCGTAAAATACACGAACCGGCGATATCCCGGCCTATCTCAGTTTATTTTGTGCGTTCTAAGGGTATATCCTATCCCAATGACCATGTCATGCTCCCAATTCTTAACCGTTTTGTTTGTAACGAACTGACAACCTAAAGCCGAGCAAGGGAAAACTGACCAACTGATATCTCATCGCATATAACTATGCATCGCATATAACCCCTTACACAGTTCCACTTCCGCTGTACAAAAGACTTAGCATATGCATTAATTTGTTGGCAGTAGTTACAGGCTTGGTATTTTAGTGTATCCCGTTTTGCCGAACCGTTTGCGCGGTTACCTATTTGACGCCTTGATATGCAGTGTTTGTTGCTCCAGTGTAAAATGAACGGTAAAATGCAACCCTGAAGTCTTTTCATCCACATGTGATCTGATTGGCTTCTGTTAAAAACATCTACCCAAGTTCCAAGTGGTCTTGATTGCCACTGCCTGCATATTTCCGGTGAATTTTGATGCACTTCAGTTCGATAGAGTTGAGCTACGGAGGACTCTTGAAAATAATGGAGTGAATGAACATGCTAGGTCTGGCCATAACGTCACGAAAAAAATCAAGTCGCATACTTCATGACTGTCAACCTTAAATTGATACCTCCCACCCACAAAATATTAAAACGTTTCAACTGGGTCATTGAGAAGTTTGCAATCGACTGCCTACAGATAACTGAGTGCTTCTGTAGGGTGCTTTTGATGGCTGGGGGATTGCTCTGCGCACTCCACAACATACACAAAAAGACTATCAGAACGTTCCTACCATAATAACCAATCGACTTGGGTATTCACATCTGCTCGCAAGACCACAATATCTCTAGGTTTTGCTGACCGAATTAATCACTAGATCCCGATGGAACCTACCTTTAACAGATCCTGGACTGTCCTCTCTCAGAGCTTATGCTTATGCGTTGGCTTGCATTGATCTTGATGCGGCCATACATTTGTACGGCACAAGCACCACTAGATGCTGGAATCTCGCCCAGGAGTGTACCTCTCACACAATAGATGCCACAGGTCGTTGCACTAAGATCAACAGAAAATTGCGGAGTCTGGGTTTGCCCGAAACGGCTTAAGGCGCACGAAAGAGGTGGTTTTTTGTTCACGTTTCGGAGAAACAGCGCAAATTGATTAAGAGAAGAAACACCTGGGTAAGAGAGAACCATTGCCCAACTCGACAGATTAAGGACAATGAAGGCTGCGATGTGAAGAAAAATCGTTCAGCTGTAGCAGCACGGCAGCGAAGCTTCAGTGCCAACACTAATGTTGCTGTTTTTGATGATGATGATGGTCCAAGCCTAGATGGGGGAGTCTATATGCAGACATTCGGGTTGAACCACCCCCCTGTCAGGAAAACTGAACAAAACAACCACAGTTGGAATCCTTCAGGTTGCCAAAGACCAGGCAAGAGAGAAGAAAAAAGCTAAGAAGGAAACGGGGTTCGGGTGGGCTCACAGGTCAATCTACAACCCGGATTCACTCAATTAACCCGTGTCGAGACTGACATGAGCTGGTAAGCGGTCATTTATTCCATTTCCACGCAAACGCAAAGAGTCTAGGAAGTCCTAACATGGAAGCCAAGTACCATAACATTCCCTCTTAGGTTTGAGGCGCTCTAAATTTAACAACAAAAAGTGCTTTTCTCGAAATGCGTAGAATACGACAGAAGCGAAAGCATGCTAGCTACCTGTGACCTCCATACTGATGAGAACTTGTCGGTCTATCTACTCTAAAATGACGGTCAGAGATCTGAAGATCACGCAGTCATCAGGCATCATTGACATCATCATCACTTACAGTTCAAGGAAGCACTGGGGGTTGTGGAGCGTTTTACGTATCTGAAAGGTTTTATGACTATCAACTGTAGTGTGACGAATAGGGTTGGCACATTCAGCTGTTGCACCCCTTCGGTGCCCAGAAGGAATCACGACGGCTGGGACACTGCCAGGTTGCCCAAGCCCAAACAGATGAAGTCGAGAGGCGGTCAGGTTCAGACCACGAACATTCCGGTCAATAAATTCGCGCTCAAACCACTGAGCCATCTCACCCCCCGTTAGGGTTGGTACACAATATACTGTGCGTTTTCCAGATCACGCAGTCATCAGGCATCATTGACATCATCATCACTTACAGTTCAAGGAAGCACTGGGGGTTGTGGAGCGTTTTACGTATCTGAAAGGTTTTATGACTATCAACTGTAGTGTGACGAATAGGGTTGGCACATTCAGCTGTTGCACCCCTTCGGTGCCCAGAAGGAATCACGACGGCTGGGACACTGCCAGGTTGCCCAAGCCCAAACAGATGAAGTCGAGAGGCGGTCAGGTTCAGACCACGAACATTCCGGTCAATAAATTCGCGCTCAAACCACTGAGCCATCTCACCCCCCGTTAGGGTTGGTACACAATATACTGTCGCGTTTTCCAATGATACACGACAGTAATACGGTGTATCCCTGAATTTTATGGTACATGTGAGTCCGGCTATAGTAGGGCTGCTTTGTTGGCCTCTTCGAGCTGCGGTACAAAGAAGTCTCCAGGCCTTCGACAGCCGTTGTCTCAGAACCATATCTCTCAAGCCAGAGGAACGAGGTAATTAGAACGGATGATTCGGTTGTGCAACGAGAACTTCAATCGGTAACATGTCCAGCGCCTGAAGCTGCTGCGCTTTGGCAAAGTATTTCGACCTCCGTTACCACGTGCCGAAAAGTTCCGTTTTATGTGCACAATTTAGAGTGGCACAATCAGAGAAGTGATTAGCCTCTGATTTGAGAGCGATGCACGAAATCTATTACGAAAAGTCTGGATACTGTTGGTGCGACTCCCCCTGTGCGTGGTGCTATCCAAAGACCTTTGAGCAGTGGGGTGTTGAAGACCGTGGTGTTCCATCAAATAAGAAATTGAAGGCACAGAATCCTTTAGAACTATTACAAGACAGTATCCTTTGCGCAGAGCCTAAATCCACTCAAAATGACTCACCTCATATATGGGCGAAGTTCCTTGCATTTCCACTCCTCAACTGGAAATTCACTTCCTCATCATGACGCTTGGTACAAGCGTGGTATGATATGAAAATAACCCCTTTCGACCGCTTCTCTCAGAATAGTCCGGTTGCATTCTCCGAAACATCTTTCGCAATCTACTCCCATCACTATCCAGCTAGAAAGCCCGCGTAGGACCGCTCCTCACCAAGCCACCGGTCTGCCACCGGCATTTTATTCAGGCCTTGTAATGGACGTCTCTCTGTAACCTACGTTCAAAGTGATAAAAGGGCCAAAATACAACATCGGCCAACATATTTCTGTTATGGTCCCAGGCCTCAGTCATCGCACAATTTAGTCCCTGAACTACAGTAATATCGTGCTTCGTTCCACCGATAACCCGAAGAACTGACTAGGAATTATTGAGCGCTACGCGGATATCCCCCGGGTGACAACGAATCATGTAAGGCCCTTTAGGATAGCGAATGCATCCGAAAAATGATCCCGAAGTCGGCTGTTTAAATTGCCCAATGGTGAGGCCAACATGTAACGGCTGAAAGGTATAATTTGGGCCCGGAGGGAAGTGAATAGGCCGACAGAGTACAAACATCCGTGGAACAGCAGCATCCTAGGGAGATGAGAGCCCAACCTTAGTAAAACAACCGCGTGAGAAGACAAATACCATTTAAATGAACTGGAATAACTCTAAGTATATTTCTTTGGGTACTGGTAAGCGGTCACAACGCAAATCTCCACTGAACCCTGAAAGCTATATATAAACGACAATAATCAGTCAGCTGTAGCACCCATTCGGTGCCTATCTGCCATGCCACCGGAATAAATTACGCAAGGATACACACGAACGACAATATGAGGACATAAATGCCATAACAAATACCTGGTGATACACAGGGCGAACTAGGGAAAGTCGGTATCATTAGTTGAGGCAGAAAGATACTCCGAGAACGATTCTGTGTCACCTTCCAATCGATCAGTGTACGAATTAACGCGCTAAGCACAACCAATTATGTAATTGCTTGTTGGAGATCGGCACTCATCACTCGTTAGGTAGAGAACAGGCCATCTCGCTTGAGCTAGTAGGGCCTTGCCAACTGAGCTAGAAAACTAGGTTATTTCGGTCACCACTAAGCATGTACAGCCTCGTTCGTAGGTTAAAATTCCTAGCCCACACGAGCTGCACACTGAACACAGCCAATGACGGACGCGGGTGAAAATAGCAAATTGCGATCATTGACGAAAGGTATGATCACGCAAAATGTGCAGGCAAATGGCTCAATGGCATGCAAGCGTGCAGATTCCGAAGCTTGATACAAACAAGGCACTGGCACCATTATAAGGCACTGGGCAATCGGATATATGAAGCAGGGGGGTATACCTGCAGTCTCCCGAGGGGGCATTGCATCGAATTTGGTGTGGGGATCGGGGGACGGATTGGCAACGGTAGAACTAGGGGGAAATGCGGCGTCAAAACCGCTCAGTTCTGCAATAAAGTTACTAAGCATTTTCTATCCATACCCCCATGACCGGCTTTAGTGCCAAAGTCATCCATATCAGTGATACGTTCGTTCGTTTCATCCACCAAAATAATATCGTTCGACCGATCAAAAACCCCTATATTTCCGTACAAATCATCTATAGCAGAGAGCGGAACCAATCCCAACAAGCAACCAAACCAACCAACCTGGAGAGGACATCCTGCGCGACAGGTTGTGCCGCCTTTCCTTGTTTTTATCCACCGACCTGAATGAAGCGCTGAAGTCCCGACATTCAGTTCAGATCACGAGACACGAGTTCACGGTTTGATACACACGATCGAGGCTTTCGCCAAAGTTTCCCGGATTGGTTTTGTTCTTTTCGTAAAGCGGTTGCCGTTCAGCTGAAAGGTACAAGTGAAAAAAGTGCAGCACTGCTCTTTAAGTTCACAGTGCGCTGCAGTGCATTTGCCACCGTGAGGACTTTCACGGATTCACGGATTCACGGATTGATACACAGGATCGAGGCTTTTGCCCAAGTTTCCCGGGTCGGTTTTGTTCTTGTCGGTCAGTGGCTGTCGTTCACCTGAAAGGCACAAGTGAAAAAAGGGTGTAGCACTGCTCGTTATGTTCTCAGCGCGGGGCAGTATCCTCGCCAGCGCGAAAATTCGCATAAACAAATGTCTAATAGTGCTTTAAATTGGGTTCGAGAAGGAGCGTGTACAACCGTCGGAGGAAGGTCATTCCACGCAGCTACTAC